TAAGCTCAACGCTCCAGCCGTGCATATTGGCTGTGTCCAAGACAAATCACCAGCRGTGCTGCTGTCACAGTAGGCCTTGACCAAGACAAACTGCCGGGTTTTAAAATAAGTACTTGCCCCGTCGCAGCCCCCTTACACTTCATCCACACTGACGCATCCACATCCCAKCACAAGTTCAAGCACATTCCCTTCACAGGTCACAGGAGTGGCTGGAGTCAAACACACTATTCAGTCTCTGGACAACGTCTGCATACTCACTCACTCTCCTGCACACACGCTTCAGAACATCATGTGTTTCTTTGCAGCCAAAGTGCTAGCACTGCATTAAGAAAGGTGAACTTAGTTGTATTTGACACAAAATATACAGACTGAGATGGATAAGCCCGGGTCTGCATGCTACCTTGATTGTCTATCACGAAACCTCAAACATGGCTGATTCAAAAACTGCCAAGTGTGCAGAAGTGTCAGCAATATTCTTTGCTTTTATTTAGCAGCACATTGCATCTTGGGACTTGTGGTTTGTCTGAACTAGCCTGTCTGTGTCGCTGCCTGCAGCCTGCACCAAAGGGATTGGTGTTCCTCACTGAACAGAGCCTCATTTATCTCTGTGGCAGAGTCCTTCCTCTCCAGCAGTGGTCCTTCTGGACCCCTGAACTGCTGACATGGGGCCCCCGCACACACACACACACACACACACACACACACACACATCTTTTCCTCCCTCCTTTGAGCTTTAGCATGCAGCAAAATTGTGAGATGTGTTTCATCTGCATATTGATTAGCCTGGCCGAAAGAAAGTAGAACCTCAGCACTTCACTGCATACATAATGTAAATAAGTGYCAGTAATTCAGCTTAAACTCTCCTGAAATGTTTAATCCAAAGYAAGAGCTATTCAAGAAAATTTTGTAAATTTCATTGCTCAACAAGTCAATTAAGTGTCTTTCATAATAACAATAAAGGACAACCAAACAGGAAGAAGCTGATCCTAAATATGTTTCCAAAGAGAAACTTTGCCCGGTTTTGCCTCTGTCACCCAATAAAGGCAGGCCGTGCTCAGTGTGTGGGCAGGCTGTAGTGCCAGGCAGTTGAACTGCAGACGGCTGGGCGCTGGGTTGTCTGATGGATGGCTTACGTTCCGCGAGGACTGAACCAATGGCGTCCGGGATTGATTGGCCCAAAGGGGCCGTCGGGGAAAGCACTTCCTGTGTGTGTTAATGGACGCTCCTGCAGATGCATCGTGGCGGCTTGTGGCAGGGTGATGGTTGTTAMTCCCTCTCTCCCCACCAGACCTCCTCCCCCATATTTTTCTTTTCTCAGTTAATCAGAAGAGAGTAAAGTGAAATGAGCCAGGCCTAACAAGCAGCAYACAATCCGAGCAGCTAACAATATATCCTGAAAATAAAACCTCACCAAGCCTCATAATTAGAAGCTTCATATAAATCTTGTAATTTATTATATTTAATCTGGTAACAGTTATATCTTGAATCACTGAAGGTCAGATAACTCGTCAAGTAATATCCTCCTATGAACCTTTGGCATCACCATTTCATATTTTGTTTCCTTCTTTCAAATGACATTATGCTTTCCAGAAACATCCAAATGACTCATTAGGAAAATATGAACATATTACTGATCGTTCTTCAACAACATTGTTTCTAAAAAGGTTGAAATCCGGGGTAACAATTTGGTAAAAACAAAATGATACGATTTTCAAATAAATGAAATCTTGTATTTCGATTAAAACAGAACAAAGGCAACATCTTAAATGCTAAAACATAGAAATGTGTTTGACTTTAACTAATAAAAAGCCTTTTGTAAACTTGGCAGCAACGAGTTTCTCACGCTTTCTTTAGACAAAACCATGAAATCAACTGGTTTAGTCTTAAAAATTAAATGTTTTGTCAATTTGATAATGCATCTTACTGAATTCAATCAGACAACAAAAGTCATTCACAGAGTGCCCACTGTTCATCTTTAATTTGTAGATGTGCTCATGTTATCTCAATTTATGCTTCGGATTTTTTGTAGATAGATCTAAATTGTTGGAAGATATTTTATCATGTTTATTTAAATACTTTGCAAATAATTTCAAAAAGACTAAATATGCATTTGCTTTTAAATATGTTCATATTTTTTAACATTTGATATGACATTTAACTATCACTATATTTCATTTTTCATTTAGCCAAGTCTATATTAATTTTATAACACTTTGGAAACTTTATTCACTTTAATAAAAAAGTTTAAAGGGATTGCTGGACTTAAAGCAGTTTTTTTTCCACTCACTGTGGACATATAGCTGTCTAAAAAACATGGTATCTTACAACTGATTCACAAATGTTTAAAGATGTCCAGCACACATTTTCAGCCGGTCTTTCTTGAGGTAGACGAAGAATAAAAACAGATTGCAAATAAATAACAGAAAGCACTGGACGAGTGTGTGACAGAATAAAAAACACAACCCAAAGTGATTTCAAGAACCCGTATGACATTAAAAAGATGATTTATAACTGGAAAACTCACCGCACACTGAATCAATACACAATTATGTGTAACAGCAACGTTTGTTGGATCACAGTGTTTGTAATTACTTTTTGGACCATTTTTAGTTTTTTAGAGTCTAGTAGAAAATTTAGCAACAAATTTTATTTACTTACTGCGCAAGTTACACAGCATTTCTGGAAACCAGAATCTCATATTTGTGAATTATGATTAGATAGGAATGAGTGAAAATATTGATTCAACAATGTGTAGCATGAACGATTGTGACACCCATTGAWATATATTACTGGATTGGGCGTGGCTAGTGCGTCGCTAGCTACATTGACATGCACACACTGGAGCTCTGTTATGCTTTGAGGAGCCTCAACAAAATGAATGGAGGTCAATGGACTGTGAAGCGTCATCCTGATGAAAAACTCTTATAACTTCCTTATTTCTTGCTTGATTTTTGCAAAACATGGTTCAAAATAAAGCTGAGAAAATTGTGAATTTTATAGTTATGGAAATTTAAAATAGACAACTAATTTAAATGACTAAAACAGTGGCTTAAACTAAGTATTTTGCGTTTCACAGGTGTTTTTTCATACAAATCAATGAGTTCTGACCAGCTGGATATTCATACATATATTTATTAATCAGAACTGAGTCTTAAAGACGTTTAAAATAATAAAATTTATCTTTCCAGTCTATATGTGTGTGTGTATTCTTACTGTGTGTGTACATAACAGTAGGGTTGTTTACAGCACACGCGATTTCCGGTTAGCTTCTTAGCTTAGCCTCCGTCACAGCGACATACGTCGCAGCCAACTGGTCCAATCATTTTAAACTTCAGCAGAGGCCACGCCTCCTGCAAGTAACACTTCTCTATGCATCAAGTCCAGACCCTTGTACGAAGCAAAGTGAAGGACAGGGTCTGGTTTAAACCAGGCTAGTTTAAATGGGCAAGAAAACAAATATCTTAAAATTATCCACAGTGGCTCTAGTGAATTAATTGTACACTTCTTATTATTAAACTGAAATCAAAGAAGTTAACAATACCTGGCCCAAATATCAGCCAAYCACATGGCAGCGACTCAATGCATTTAGGCATGTAGACATGGCCAAGATGATCTGCTGCAGTTCAAACCGAGCATCAAAATGGGGAAGAAATGTGATTTAAGGGACTTTGAACAGGGCATGGTTGTTGGTGTCAGACGTGCTGGTCTGAGTATTTCAGAAACTGCTGATCTACTGGGATTTTCACCCACAACCATCTCTAGGGTTTACAGAGAATGGTGCAAAAAAGAGCAAATATCCAGTGAGCGGCAGCTCTGTGGGTGCAAATGCCTTGTTGATGCCCGAGGTCAGAGGAGAATGGCCAGACTGGTTGGAGCTGACAGAACGACAACAGTAACTCAAATAACCACTCGTTACAACCGAGGTCTGCAGAAGAGCATCTCTGAACACACATCAAACCTTGAGGCGGATAGGCTACAGCAGAAGACCACACTGGGTCCCAGTCCTGTCAGCTAAGAACAGGAAAATGAGCCTACAATTCACACAGGCTCACCAAAAATGGACAATAGAAGATTGGAAAAACGTTGCCTGGTCTGATGAGTCTGGATTTCTGCTGCGACATTCTGATGGTACAGTCAGAATATGGCATCAACAACATGAAAGCATGGTTCCATCCTGCCTTGTATCACTGGTTCAGGCTGGTGGTGGTGCAATGGCGTGGGGGATATATTCCTGGCACACTTTGGGCCCATTAGTACCAATTGAGCATCATGTCAATGCCACAGCCTACCTGAGTATTGTTGCTGACCATGTCCATCCCTTTATAACCACACTGTACCCATCTTCTGATGGCTTCTTCCAGCAGGTTAACGAGCCATATCATAAAGAGTGAATCATCTCAGACTGGTTTCTTAAACACAACAATGAGTTCACTGTCCTCAAATGGCCTCCACAGTCACCAGATCTCAATCCAATAGAGCACCTTTGGGATGTGGTGGAACGAGAGATTTGCATCATGGAGGTGCAACTGACAAATCTGAGCAACTGTGTGATCATGTCAATGTTGTGCCATCTCCTATGAGTTCTTTCAGTGTTTTTCTAACTTTTATTTGACCATCTTTGTCAGTTTTGCAGCAACAGTTGTAAAGATGTTTGTATTTTCGAACAGTCTCGGCCAGCTGCCCCTCAGTGAAGCAGTTGAAGTGAAACAAGAGAAGTGTTGTTCACTCACATAAACACAAAGTTTTGACCAATGGCACAATACTTGGGAACCTACCCCTGCAAGAATAGTTTCTGTCAGGAGCTTTTGCACAGAACCGGTTCTTGGAGGTGGTGCAAGACCAAAAACACATCATTTTCGTCACGCGGCTGCGACAGTGAGAACAAATTTCAACATGTCTTAGAGAGTGTAAATCAGCCTTTAGAGTCAGGAAAATTAAGACTTTCTGACCCTTGTGATGTAAAACTACTGATTTAAAACAAAATTAAATGCATAATATACCCAAGTCTGCCTAGCTGCTCCAGCTCAGGCACAGGAGGCCCGTAGGTTTCAACGTGAAYGGGTGTGTAGTGGTACAGCACTTCCTCTATCCTCTGCAAAGGCTGAAGAGACACATTCTGCCGCTGAAAAAGAAACACAAGAAATACAATAATCATCATCAGTTCTGTGCAGTAAAAACTGAAAAAAAGACGTAGCATTCCTTGAAGAAATGCACATCGCCTGCTGCTTTCATGCCAATGCCAAACTAAAATAATCTTATGTTCAGAAATGAGTTAAAGCTACTCCGGTCAAACCTTGAAAATTAAATTGTGCACAATCCCATGTGTTATTGCAGTATCTTGCATAATCTGTTCACACTCTGAGTATATGTTGTGAATGATGGTCATCTACTACCACACCAAATTGTAGCCTAATATCTGTAATAAACTGAGTAAATTATAGCAATTTTTGTACAGGCTAAGATGGATTAACTGTGGCAGCCATCTCAAATTGGGTTGACTCCAAAGGTTAATCTGTAGTGAAAGTACAGCTGATAATTCCTTTCTGAGTTTTATTAAAATCCAGCCAGTGGCTCATGAGATATTTTGCTAACAGTCTAACATCTCAAACAATTAAAAGGTAAAGGCCCTGTCACACAATAGAGTTTTAGGAAACTTAAAAAAATTAAAGACATCTAAGTTGATAATGGAAATAAACAAATCAATTAGAAGCCTCTTTTAGGCGTGTATATACTGTAATGCTAACAAACTGATCAAATATATAATGTTTATTGATATTTTTTGTCTTTCTTAAGGTCAGCTGGCTGTGGCGGCCATCTTTAATCGGGTTATCAAGCAAATGATTACTTTATAAAAGTTTCATTAAAAAACGCTTGGTGATTTGTGACATACAGTATTTTACTAATGATACAAACAAACAAACAAACTCAAAGGCATGGGAAAAAACAAAACATCACCACTCTACCTTCAGCAGCTGGTAAGAGAAAAAAGAGACGAAAAATAAAGAGTACTTAAAATTATTTTTTTAAAAAGGGAATTCTGTCTTTTACTTTTTTTCACGCCTACAATAGTTTGGTGGATAAACGCAAACAAGACTATGACTGTTTCAACTGGTCAAGTTTTAATTAGCAACTAGACAACAAATCTCAATGGAAACTTTAACTAGAAAGAAAGAAGTCATGGGCAAAAAGGTATGCTTTACAAATGTTACCCAACTGCTTCTCTCAAGATCAGCAATGCCTCACTGAAAACTGTAGTTTACTCTCCAAAAAAATAAAAAAGGAAAAAAACAAATAACTTAAATTTAAGATTTAAATAAGAATTGACCGTGTTAATCAAAAAACAGGACTCTGCAACATTAGTGTGAAACTGTTCAATCTGTGGCTAAGCCATCAAAGAGGGAATTTCCACAAAGCATTTTCTCCAACATTAAAGAAACGAGACGAGCCAGATTCATGAAACAAACCTGGAATTAAAAAAGCTGATGTTTAAACAAGCATTAGCTATTTCAGAGAGCAGCAAAGGAACTTGGGAGACAAAAGGAAGATAAAAAGATAAGAAAGAAAGCAAAGAGAAAAAGAAATGGGGGAGAATAAACAACAGAACACAGAGGGGAGTTGATGGAAACCAAACTAAACAAGTAACATGTGCCCCGCGGCCACAGGCTGCCCTGCCCGCCATCACATATGCTGCGGCTTATGTGATCACACACACACACACACTCACACACACACTCACATGGAGTAACAAAGCGACCAAAGAAGGCAATACAAAGCATGAAGAGATGCACAATAGAGCAGCAATAGGTGTAGTTTTTTAGGTCGATGCAAACAAAAAGTGTTTAAACACAGAAAACGTAGCATAAAAACTTTGACATTATATTCTTTAATATGTTTTAAAATGAAATGCAATTTATTCACACTTAGATTTTTTTTAGTTATTAGTTTTATTAACCTTTATTATCCCTCAGTGGGGAAATTAGTTCTCTGCATTTTTCCCACCACACATGTGGAGCAGTGGGCTGTCATTTTTGAGGCCCCCGGGAAGCAACTGTGGGGGGCTCAAGGGTCTTGCTCTGGGGGCCCAGAGTGGGGCTGATCGATCCAGGGAGTTGAACCGGTGACCTTCTGATCATAGGCTCACCTTTTCTAACCTCTGTGCCACCACTCCCCATTCCTATAACATCAAGTAGATTTTGGTACAGTGACCGACATATAAGCTAAGCTATACTTAAGATGTCCAAACTGGACACTGATGCTATATTGTCCAAATACTTACTAGAATAATATTTATGTTTGGCTGAGAGAGGTTCTACAGTAAAAAAGGATTTTGTCCACAAAACCCAATTCTTATTCCCAGAATGTGTTTCARCTATCTTAACAGAACAAGTCCAAACCTGTTACTTTGTGCAGTAGCTTCTTTTTTGTTGTTGTTGCGCAGGTGGGGAAAACAGCAGAGACAGTGACAGTGGCAGCGCATTAACAGAAATAAAGTGGGTTTTTCCAGGGAAGGATTAATCAAAGTTGAGTTTCTACTTTGAACGTGTCTACTTCCTGTATACCTCAGGCGAGAGATGCTGTCTTAGAACCAGAACTACAGGCTCTAATCTTTGATATTATATATATATTTTCTATTTAACGTAAAGGAAAATCACTCCAGTCAAATCAAAGATGGTTTTTTAGCTAAAAGAAACAACATATTTTGACACCTGGAAACATATTCTCCTGAATTGATTAGAAGAAAAGGTATTTCTTAATTAAAGCAAAGTAATTTTTATATTACATTGCTTTAATTGTTATCTTACTTTGTTTGACTAAATTGTAAAACACTTTGATCAACTTCTATTGTTTTATGTGCCATGGCAATAAGTCTGACAATAATATTTTGGACCAGCTTGTAGATGCCATTTAAATCTATAAAATAAAGATTTGAGTTTTTTTTAAATAAAACACAAGAAACACATTTCTCTGTAGTTTTACTCAACCTTTAACCCAAAGGTGTCCTTGTGAACAGTCATCCCATCAGTTCATCAAATACACAGCAGCTGCACCTCATTATAATGAAACCCAGACCTTAAACCCCCATTACAATTACTATCCCTCTCTTTCACACTCCTTCAGTCCCTCTCCATCCATCTTCTTCAGACTTTCAGCACGGTTTCTCTTCCCTACTGCGTCAGTCAAAGAAATGCACTGGGACCAAGGAGAAGCAGAAAGTCACAAAGTGAAGGAGCTCCAGAGAATTTAAGCAGCAAATTGGAAGCTGCAGACAGCTGAACTTCAGTGAATCTGATTTTTAAGTGACAGAACAGTCCTAACCCCTCCTCCCATCAGTGTGGGGAAACTTGTTGCATTCTTTTGCAAGGGCACCTTAAAAACTGGCATCAGGCCACATTAGCACGTGCAAACACAGCTTAAAATGTGGTTACCCAAAAACACATTCCATCACAAAAAATGTCGGAAAAAATACAATTTGTTGTACTTAAAAATAAAACAACTGAGAACTGTGTCTTCAAAGAACTGCATTCCACTACACCTGATAATATGGCTGGAAAAAAAAAATCAAACATGAACTTATCCCCTCACTGTGTGAATTACGACATACAAGTGTTGTTTTCAAAATGCTCCAGAGAAAAAAGCAACATAGAGGGGAGACAGAGGGGACCCCCAGTCAGGCCCAGCAGAGTGGGAATGGCAACAGGATCAAGGGTCTTTAGAACAACATGACCGAAGGAGCCAATCCAAACATCTGCTTTAATCATCACAGAGGCCCATCCAACTACCTATACAACATTGTGTGCATTGTAAGTTTATGTATGTACTAGTACTTAAACTCTTATGATACTCTTGAGGCACTAAAGTGAAACTCTGKGGGCCATTAATCTTAATAAAACCGTAGGGGGGATGATTTGAGGAAATCACTGTTGCGCCATTGGGAAGAAGCAGGGATATTCCCAATGGCAAGCTATAGTTTTCTTTACAAGGCACTAATTTAAAAAATATAACTGCTTTTAAAGGTCAAATGAAGTGGTCACATATACCAACTCACATGTTTTAGGAAGTAAAGGCAGTATATCAAACAGTTCTGCATCCCCCAGCCTGTATATAGCTTGTTTTTTTTTTTTTTTCTTACCATATCATTACTCTTTCATTGCACTGTTGTTTGTCTTACTTGTGCAAGTGAATGCATCAGGGTTAGCTCATCAGACTGCGTGAGGTCGCGGGCAATCATGCAATTTTTATAGGACAAAGGTCTCGTAAAATTAAAATTACTTTCAGGCTTTTAAAGATTTATCCCTGGGGCATCGTGCTGACTCTGGGTATCTATGGCACAAACCCCAGYATCACTAATTTGGCAATTTTTTTACCAAATAACTTAGCAAGGTTAAAGCCCTCACTTCAAAACACAAGAGGTGGTCAACATGAGAGTACGTTGGTCGAACCCCGGTCTTTRTGGGTCACCACTCAGAATAAATGTTAAAAACATGCTACACACAAATACACACACGCAACGCAAGCATCAGCACTCCCCGGCACCCCCATCTCTCCTCTGACTTTGCTGCTCAGCAGGACACATCAAGGTTGTAGAAACTAACCTCTCCATCAGCACCTCTCCACCACATCTGCGCACGAACAAACAAAACCCTATGTATTCATTTGGCTCCCTGGGGTCTTTGGCGCCACAGCTCAAGAGCCAGCAAGGCCATCTTCACTAATGTATGAAGTGATAATGAGAACAATGCAAAGGGACTGTGTAGAACTGTACAGTGAACAAAAATAATGAGCCTAGTTAGGAGCCATCGCTTCCTTCTGCTGTGACACTGCCGCTGCTTCTGTAGGGATAAAGAGTTTTAAGCTGCCCACTGGTACAATGAGCAGCAAGTAGCGAGTGTAAAAGCTGCTGGCTCCCTGCGCCTTACAAGTTTAAATATATCTGCCTGACCCATGGCAGCTGCCCGAGCGCAAAGCCCCTAAAGCTGACAAGTCCTTTTTCCGCTGCACCGACCTGYATGTGGGCAGGTTTTGCTGAAGCCAACCTAAACATGGGCAGGGGCAGAGGTGTGAATGCCCACATGTGCCGGTGCCAATCAGGGCTCACAGACCCCCTCATTTCAAGCCCACACCCCATGGTTGATAACCTCCATGGCAGCGAACCAAAACGAAAAAAATCAAAAAGGCACAAGTTCAAGGCGTGTGCTTTAGTGTTTGAATGGTGTCCAAACTCGAATGAGAATAAAAACCAAATATCTTTGGTAACTTTTTTTTGTTAAGAGTGTGAACAAGAGACAATGGATGAGGTAATGCAGGGGAAACTTAGTGGGGGTTGCARTGAGTACATAGCAACAATTCTCAGACAAAACAGGTTAGGCCAGTTTGCCAGAGTAAAGCAAAGCACAGCCTGGCCTGCATTGACAAGTGCATCTCCTGAGCAGAGGTCAATGTAGAGGACTTAACTAAGTAAACAAATACATTCACAGCATGTGTGTGAAACTGTGCTGTATAATCTATGGTAGTCAAATTCCACCGCCTAAATGTAGAATGGCCTAAAGCCAGAGAGTACCCAAAGTTATTTCAGCCAGCTACACATCAAGGTTTAGGGATAAACTTTCCACCCTGAGTGTGTTTGTGAACTGCACTTTGTTTATGTGTGTGTTTGCCTCCTGTTTCATTAGGTGCCCATGTGGACACAGTCAGGTATGTCAGCTGCTCACGTCAAGCTGTGAGCAGCGGAATGGGCCCCGGTAGAGCTGGAACCTGGGAACTTTGATCCGAGATGGTGCTGAAAGCTGCCCGAAGGAGGAAAGATTCCCCATCGGTCATCTGCCTTCAGGAATAGGACACGAGGGGGGGAAGCTGAAAACATTCCCCTCTTTTTAGTGTAACACTTTGATCAACGCAAACAAAGCTAACATTTAACATTAAACCCCTTACACAACTACATACAGTACACCTAATTTTCAAGCTAATTTATATAAATGTTTTGTTCAAAGCAGGTGCCAAGTGGCTTCTGTCAACACAACAATCATCATCAAGCTCRAGTGTAAGGTTGTGCCAGACAACAACAAGCAACCTGTTTAAACAGCGAATCGTCACCTCCCTCCCACACAGAGCATCTCTTTTGATATCAGCGGACATCTTTTTTTTTAAAGACACTTTATTCTTCAAAGCATGTATACTCAGACTGGGCGGGAAGGGTAGGGTGTGTGTGTGTGTGCACGCGCATGTGGATGTGTGTGTCTTTGGGTTCAATAGAGTATCTACAAAGTGAGGGATTAGTGAGCGTTTTCAAAAAAAATTCCTGAGGCAAGACCAGGCCCATCCCACTTCCCATCACACCTGGAATAATGCTCCCACTTTTCCCCAGGATTGGCCAGCTTCCTCAATAGTCCGTCCGAATGTGATGTTAGCACACAGCCAGGAATACCAAGGTTTGGTCTGGATTCCCCAACACCAGTTCCAAGAAAAGTCACTCTGGCACTGAGTGATGCCAGCCCGGCTGAGAATAACCCTCTCATGTTCCCCGCACACAACATACCATGACCAGGTTCAACGTAAGATCACACTTTAAATATAGTCTGGAATAACTGGGAAGCTGAGGAAGAGCTGGCATCCTCAAGTTGAGTGGACTGGATKTTTAAAAGATGGGACGACGTGTGATGAAAGCAGCGACTGCTCACCTTGGCCCAGGCTGAAGCAGCTGGCTCAAAAAGCTGGAGGTGAGGTGGGGAGGTTAGAATAGAATAGAATAGAATAGAATAGAATAGAATAGAATAGAATAGAAGGGGGGGTGTTAGAATAGAATAGAATAGAATAGAATACCTTTATTGTCATTACACACACGCATAATGAGATCAAGAGCCACGCCTACAGCAGTGCAAATACACATTAAAAGAAATAGAAAAGAATAAAAATGTGCTAAAATATGCCCATATATATCTGCATACATAAATGTATGCAGATATATATGCATGCATTAACGCTGCTTCTGTTACTTGCAAATTTGGACAAGAAAAGCATCCCAATAAAAACTAATTGCTGTGTGTGATAGTAGTTTAAAGATGTTATTTTTACAACAAAAAAATCACAAATTCCTAGAGCTATTCTATAAATGATAATGACAGTTAATGATTTCACATTTTAGCACAAAATTAATATTTTTTTAACAAAGGATGAATAAAATGTGGCTAAGCCTCATTTATTTCAAATTTGTTTCCACTAATTTCTACTGTCTGCAGTAAGAAACCACGAACTACACGATAAATAAATTCCAGCAATCTGCAGGAATCCACCGAACTGTGCTGAAACCCCACCAAGTTAAACAAAAGTCATTCGTATGGACACTGAGCTGAAGAGACATCCAAACCAACACTTTCCCCTGCCTCACGTCTCCGAGTCCAACCCAGCAGATGCGTGGCGAGAGCTCCGCTCCACCAAACAGCAGCTCAAATGAGAAGATGAGGAGAAACTGAAGAAGGAAGGATGGAAAAACAGCCACTAAAGAAGCCAAGAGCAACATAATCACAGTGTTTCTCTCAGCATCAGCAAGTTTATGTCAAGCGTGTAAAACTCAAAGCACTATAAGCTTCATCTAGATCGATTCAAGGCTTTTTTAGCGGGAAGTMCTCGTCTCTTCAGAAAAGAGAAAGTTCATTTATGCCTGAATATGTCAAAATCTAGATTAGAGCTTCAGGTGAGTGTGAAGCAGAGAGCTCTCCCACGCATGACTGAACTGTGGGAAGACAACTTCGCCTCATGAGGGTTGCTGAGGAAGGGGTGGAGATGATGACACAGCCAATCTCATCCTTACAAAATGAAAATAAATGACTGAAAACCTGAACTCAAGCCAAATAAGAAGGTCTCTGTTTGCATAAAGCTGCAAAACTCAGAGGAGCTAAAGCCCCGAGCCCACATGCTCCATCTCTCTGTGGGACCCACCGCTCATAAAGAGGAAKGTGATGACATGACCGAAGAGGTCAGGGTTCGTTCCCACACCGAAGAATACGAATAAGAAGACTGAAAAACAACCTGAGAGGGTTTGTGTTGGCTATCTGTGAAAAGCATCGGTTTATACGATRAGCTGAAGTGAAACAACTAACAATTAATTTATGCTGATGTAAAGTTTCCCAGTTTCTTATAATAAAGCTCATCAAAAAAATTTTATAAATCAAATATAACAGCCCAATTTAATTAAGTAAAACACTGACTTATACTTACAATTTGGATACCAGTTGAAAATATACTGGTTGGCTTCACGTTCTGTTTTTGCTGCTCGATCTCCGTCTCCAGCTGGGCAGCACGAACTTTGTGCTGGGCGAGCAAGACGGTGGCAGGCAGCTGAGACTGCTCCTGGAGAAACACGTGGMGTTTAGGATTTTATGTGAAGAAAGAGCTTCAACAAGAACACTTTGCTCAGAGGAGAACAGGAGGCAGCCCCAATCATGCATCACTGAAACGAGATAACAATCAGCAAATAGTGCTTTCGTGCTGGCTGCCGCTGTCTTAAAGCAAGTTTTATTAAAACTGAAGCACCGAATGTAATGCCATTTAAAAATCACCTTCATCTCCGTTAAATGCAAGGTCAGGCATTTTGGGTTTAATTAGTGGAGTGTTGCCAAGCACACAAGTCTAAGAACACAAGCTTGGAAAAAGTGAGGAGGTAGGACACAGATGTAGCAGGTGACCCTGAACAGGTACGGAAAATGTATGAATGAATGTTGAGTGTGCAAACGGTCACAGGGACGTAGAGATGTCAGGGCTCGGGAGAGTTCTCCTCAGAGGGAGGAAAAAGCTGATCTCATCTGCCAACAAACAGGCCCTGTGCCTTAAACAAACAAACACAGGGTTTAGCCCGCTATCTCTGATGGTTCTTCAGCGGACCGCTCTGCAGGAACAATAACTTCCAAAGCTCTCGGCTCAAAACAATGGTGCCGAAAGGCTTTGGAATCATAGAATGAGAACAATGCAAACCCACGGCACAATGGCTACAAATAAGCTCCTAATGACCTGACATCAACCTATAAGGTGTCTGTATGTTAAAGCATGTGCATTAAACAGTATCCATCATGACCCGACCTCCTCTTTACTAGTCTTTTGCATCACCAGACGTTTCATTCTTTGTAAAGATGGAYGTGATTCTTTTTCTCACCAGTTCGTCCAGCAAAGCCTGTTTGTTCTTCCGCTTGGCCTGAAGCTGCCTCTGCTCCTCCTGCAGCACGTCCAGCCGCCGCTGCTCGTTGCTCTGCTGTTCCAGAAGCAGCAGCTCCTCCAGCTCCTCCTGCTCCCGCGTCTGAAGATGACAAAATAAATAAATAAATAAATTTAAAAACATTGATGACCACAAGGCTGAATCCATTTTGACGCCAGAGTCCGGCCTGTTGTAAAGGGGAGGAAGCTAGCACTAAGAAGGCGATGTTTATTTTGGAACTTAAATATGAATAAGCTTAAAAGCACATACAAGCTTGGCCTTATTTCTCTGGATGATGTCTTTGTTTTCTTTCTGGTACTGCTCCATCCTCAGCTTGGTGTTCTCCACATCAATGTTATTTGTGAGGTTATGCACTGCGGGCAAACATAAAAACACATAAGTTGTTTTACTCAACAGATTTATCATTGTTTTATTGCGTTACTCTGTGCTTTACAATTACTTTAATTTTAAATCAACACTCAAAAACTGTTATGAATTGTTTTCACATTATTAAAGGGTGGAACTTTGAAAATATTGACATCTAACATTAATTCAGTTTTTTATTCTGCAAATAAATTTGAATACTTTTTGGCTCTGGTGTTTGGTTTATAAGACTTGGTGCTAATTTTGTTCATTTTTGGTCCAATGCCTTTAAAATTATGGCAAAAAATTATTTATTTTTATTAGTTTTACTGAGTGTTTCTGAAATGACAGCAGCTCTCTGGAATGAACTGAAGCACACTGCAGTCCCACAGCGTAATACTGCTGCCAAACTGTAAAAAAAAAAGACAGCTTTAAATCTTGAGTCATCCCTCATTTCTTTATACTTTCCTTACAGAGTGCCAAACATTCTTGTTTTTCTTTAATCAACAGTTTTTCAGGCTTTCTAAAGGTCTTTAAAAATATATATACTGTACTTGAACGTTGGCTGCTTTTTCAATCATTTTCTGTCCATATCAGATCATTTCATAAGAATGTTTTGTTCAGAAAAATGTTTGTTAAACCACCTAATTTTAATTAAATACTCATTTAAGCATCAAAACGTGTCAATACTTGATGGACAGCTTAATAATGAAATAATTTTAAATGGGATCTTTTGACACTTTGTTACCACTTTGTCACAAAGACACAATTTGTTCCCTTTTTTTAGTTTGATCTATAAATATACCAAAGTAAACACAGTTAGTCAGATATAAACTAGTATTTTTGTAATAACAATGTGATTCCCAAAGAGCTCTGTATTTGTATAAAACTTGACATACAGCATTCAACCAAAAGGTTATGCATTTCACTGTCTTTATACTAAACAGAAAAAAGGAGTGTTTTTCTCCCTTCATCCATGAGTAGAGGTTAAAAGATGACCAGTCACACCATGTCGAACTCTCAACACAAGCTAAAAGTCCTCTGAGGGCTTTGAATCCAGACTTGTTACCACTGGCAAAAGTATTTTCTAATCCAACATTTTGGGTGGCAATAAGGCCTTTCAAATAATGCAGAATCAAATAGGAAACACAATACTTGTTTTAAAATGAGGTATTACGAGCTTGTCGCCTACCAATGTCCTCCACTTGCTCCAGATAATCGTTATATTCTCTCAGACTGGGGAAGTCGAGTTCTCTCTTGTTGTATCTGCAGAGGAACGAGAAAACTGATGATGTAAATAATAAAAAACCCGCTGAAAGGAAATATGCATCCATTTGACTCAATCGTTTTATAAATCCATCTCTGCAAACTGCCTAATACACACGCATTAGATATCAATTAAGGGGCTATTAAAAAAGCAGATAAGATGGAGAGGAAGAGGGCAGGGAGGGGCTGCGAAGTAAAAATCTGGCAGAGAAAGAGCCTACCCATTTGCCCCCCTCCCCACGGGGGAAACTCATTGTCTACAAAACAAACACTGTAATGAGAAAGACAAAGGCAGCTTAAGAAGGAGGAGGCATGGTATGACATATAAACACACAGAACCCCACCCCTCGCTCTCTGTCACCCCCTCATCCCACTTTGGGCGGCTGTAATAGGTTGTCGGTGCGATCCCCCGTTCCAGCAGTCTCAATTGTTGTGTCCTTGGGCAAGACACTTCACCCRCCTTACCTACTGATGGTGCCCAGCAGCCCCACCTCTGTCATTGTGCCCCAGGGCAGCTGTGGCTACACTGTAGCTTACCACCATCAGTGTGTGAATGGGTGAATGTCTGTAAGTGTAAAACGCTTTTTTTAAACAAATTTATTCATTTCATTTAAAAACAAAACAAATACATAAAACAAATAATAAAACAACACAAATAAAATGAAASGTAGCAGAAAGAAGAAAAAAWTCTTGATATCTGCCCCTTTTTTAAAATAAATAAACTGAAACAATAATAGTCTTCAAACAACAAAACATAACAAAAACTTCAACTCCTTCACAAACAACGGTTCTTATAAATGCACACTATACAAACTCATATCTCCTCAACAACCTAACTTTCATCATTCTCTTAAATAAAATTATTGAGCCAGCATTTTTATTATCACTTTCCAGATTGTTCCACAATCTTATTCCTTGGACAGAAGTACATCTGTCCTTCAGATTTGTTCGAATTTTGGGCTTTACAAACATCTCTATACCCTTAAGCTTATAATTACTTACTCTCTTAACAAAATTCAATTGAATATTTAGAGGTAATAAATTTTTATGAGCTTTATACATAACCTGCAAAATATTATGATCAACCAACTCATAAAATTTCAATAATTTCAACTGACAAAATAATATATTTGATGGGTGACTGTAATGTTTTCTGGTGATAATTCTTACGGCTCTTTTCTGTAAAATAAAAATGGTATTTGTAATTGTTTTACATTGCTTTGAGTCCAACGGGACTTGATAAAATGCTATATGAGTTCAGTCCATTTTCTCACTCACATTTTCATCACCTTCTTGCGGATCTCCACCTCCTTGTCCACGGTTGGGTCTTCGAAGAGCTGCACGCGAAAGTTGCTCTTCCGGAGAGGCGTGTCGCACTGCACGCAGTTACCCGAGCCACGCACAAACAGCATCTCCACGCAGTTCTCGCATCTGTGCAGCAAAACAAAACAGAAATTTAGAACAAAACAACGCTGCCTTTTTTTCCAGAGCCGTCTCWTCCTAAGCACCTCTGGAGTCGGCTTCAAGTGTCCACGTGTCGCCACGTGTGGCTGCTGAGATACAATTCTCCACAAAGTAAAGCAAGTGTGTGTGTTTTGCTTCTGTTACATCAACAAGCACGTTGAGCGATAATGGTGCATAAGAATATTTCCTCTGAGTGCTAAAAGTTGGCTGGTATTACAATTGAAACCTCAATTAGCCTGCCTCACACTCTTAGACAAGAGGAAATTAGTCCAACACCCACTTCAGTGGAGTGTCTGCCTGCAGAGGAAAAAACATTTGCTTTGTTGTGATTTCAACAAACCTCGACCATTTGGACACGCAGAGCAAGGAGAGCAGAAAATAATCCAGCTCAGTAATTCTTTCACAGTAGTTTGGTTTTGTTTTCATTTATTTGTTTATTTGACAGGGACAATGCAAACAAAGAACACATTGGGCCTCATGCAAAAACCGTTCGTAYGCACAGATTTGTTCTTAAGTTGTGCGTACGAGTGATTTAGGAGAATTTGTGGCATTCACCAATGTTTTCGTATTCTAAGATTTTTTTCAGATACGAACAAAATTCACGAGTGGTCCAGACCTGTCGAATATTTTACGAGCAGTCAGTCTGCTGTTATCCAGAYGGGTTTTCTTCACTAATAACTTTATATTTCGTTATTTAGAAAATTTTTCAAGTTGAAAATAAATCACACTCTATGATTATGTTGACAGTAGGTTATTCTGTTTGAAATGGAATTAGATWTTAACGACATAAATTGATTAGATTAAGTTAAATTGTCTTTTAATGCTGTTGTATAACACTACAATGTTAATATGAAGATCTCAAACTAAAAAACAACTTAAATTATGCATTAATTGAAGTTTGGAGACGTTTTAAAATGCGTCTTTTCAGAAACGCATCTGTCACTTGCGACTGCAGGGAGGGGGGAGACGGCCAGGCGGGGTGGGTAGCGGTGCGCAACCACCCTTCTTCTGAATAAATGTAAACACAGTAACACAGTTGTTTACACTTAAATTAAAAAATATTTGACCAAAGAAAAACCGGAGCTGGACTAGAGAGAGATGAATATGATTTATATTTTTATTTCTGTGACTGTAACGACCCACAGGAGACACGACATTGACAGCAAATTTCATTCCTTTAAACAGCTCCTTTAATTCCACATGACACTGCTAAAGAGAACAGATTTTCTTTTCTCGATCTCTGAGAGCAGGACTACTATCTCCGAACTCGTAAAGTTCTTCTTTTTTACTTTGCAATGTCTTTCATAAATGAACACTTCCTGGTATGTGGGGCAGGAAACATAGCCTTATATGGTGTTTTTGGGGTGGTAATTATGTAAATCTCCTCTCGCGTGCACGAGCAGCTGGATACGAACAGGTGGAATTTACGCAGCTCATTTACACACTTTTCCTGAAGATAGAAGAGTTTGTTGAATCTGTAAGAGAAATTTAGGATAAGAATACGAACATGTTCTTGCATGAGGCCCATTAAGTCTGTAACTGATGTAGTTTATAGCTATAGCTAACTTTAAACTCCAGTCCCTGGTTGGGCATGTCTAAATATTAAAAAACATATGTCAAAATACACTAAAAATACATACTTATTTCTACCTACATATTCATGTAATCAACCATGCAACCTTCAAATTCATATAATAAAAAATAAACATTAAAATACACAATTTATAATTCAGAAGCAATAAAAACCAAACATTTTTCTCTCTACATAATATTCATAAATAACCGTGTAACCTCTAAATTTCTAGAAATGTCCATACATATCCTCGGTACCTCTCCATCCTCAYGCATTCAGCTAACATGTAGTACTCACTCACAAACGCATCCAGTCCCACACAGATATTCTCAGTCATTACATCTGAGTACCAGAGATGATCACATCTTTTGGTTTTAAGCAGAAAACTTCTTTTAATTTTCCTAATTWGATTTAAAAATCACAATACTTTTACAAGAGTGTAAAAGGGAAAAGTGGCTGAAAACGCTTCTGTTTTGTCAGGTACCAAAATATTTCATGGACCTCTAGATGAATTTTAATGAAATGTACAAAAAGTAATACTTGGTTGATCATCTACAACTGATTAWCTTTTAGAGTCAACCCCATTCAARATGGAAGCCACAGGCAACTGATGTTAAAACAAAACACAAACATGACTAGAACAAAGTCAGTTTTACAGAGATGGACCTAAAGTTTCGTGTGGTGGTGGCCAAGACTGATCTATATTCTGATAGCTGACAAAGAACATCAGATCTGTGTTTAGAATTTTGCCATAAACTACTTTCTGKAAATAATCATGGACATCTACAACTGATTCACTTTTGGGGTCAATACAAAACGAATTTGGCCGCAACAGCTAATTGATATTAGCAAACACAAAGAAAATGTCATAAATGAACAAACAGTTTTGATTGTCTTGTTCATTCACCATCAGTTTACCTGTAACCCCTCAGATTGAAGAGGTCTCTTGAAGAGACAAAACATTTCACAATAAAAAAGAACCCGTCCAAAGAACTTACTCAACTTTTTTATATGACTGAGTCAGTTTTACAGATTTTGATTTTAAATTTGATGTGGTATTAGYTAAGAGTCACACATAATCTTGAGAGTAACGTTTTGCAATATTGCACAACAATAATTTCAAGATTGCTACTCTGTCATTTCTCAATATAAAATTATTTTAGTCTAAAACTCTGGCATGAAAGGAGGAAGCAATGAGCATTACTTAAAATAATGCTAGACCTTTCTATGTTTTTTAGTAATTTGCTGCAACAAAAATAACTGACTCATTGTGGAGAGTTTAGGCTTTAATTACTGTGGGAATCTAATTCATCAAAAATATTTGCTATAAATCTGTTTTATAGATTTTCAAGGCAGCATAAAAAGCAGTGTAAAGTCATGATGGGTTTTTCAGCTGGCTGTTATTTAAATCTTTAATCTGTAATTCAGACAATTTAAAACAAATGATGGGGGATTACAGGTCAAGCCCAGTTTTAAACCAGAAAGTTTACTTCCCGAAACATCACAACTCCAAGTCAACCAGTCAGCGTTCCTACCAGTCCTCAGTTTAACCATCAATCACACCTTTATGCAGGTAGTCACACTCATCAGTCACACTCCAGTGAAGAGTGGAAACTACAAACAATGGGGAATGTCCCTTTGTCTCTCCTGTTGAAGAGGAGAGCCTGGATAAACGTTTGTCCAGTGCGCTCTTTTAATTAACTCCCCGTAGAGCTTCATTTCCACAAGAATCCACCTTCCAATTCATGACCACCCTCAAAAAAATATCGACATCTGGTTTTCTAATGGTACAACGTGGTTTTGAGCACAGATTCATAATAAAACAGAGCAAAGTTGAAGGGGAAAAGGCAGATTTATCAGTAAACGGCACTGATGGCAAGGTTGACTCACATTTTTCCAAAAGTGACTCAAAAATCCAAAGTTTTCCAGAAACAGAACAAGTCAGACTGTAAATCGTTTCACTTCATCAGCAAGACACGAAAAAAAAAACAGCTTAAGAAGAAACTGCAGAGGCATGAGGTTTGTGTGTTTATACTTAACGTTTCCAATAGGGGTCAAACAAGCCCAACCTGCCATTTCTGACACTAAGCATTTTCACTTATACAACCATGGCATAAAGCACTATCGTATGACAGTTTAGCTTGGCTGTAATGAAGCAGCAATATTGAAAATGAAAACTGAATGGCAGAAACATGTGTGCTGTCCAGTTGGTGCCTCGGCGTGTGAAGAGCCCCTGCTCAAGTGCACCCTGGAAGAGGCAGATGTTCGCCGTGGCCCGAGGCTACCAGAGATCTATAGGCCTCGCCATATGGAGGTAGATGGAGGGATTCAGCTTGTTTCCACAGGCCCACAAAGAGCCCATTCATCAAAACAGCGCAAGGAGCGGGGCGTAGCTCACCCCCTATCCCATAAATGGACCACACAACCAAACTCTCCAAAGGGCAAATCCTGTAGAGCCAAGAGGTGACCAGTTAAAATGGAGGGAGGTGACTTTCAGAGTCTTTTTTTTGTTTGTTTGTTTTTAATCTTTTAAAATTTGGCAGCTTTTGGTTTGAGTGCTTGTTAGGGCAGAAACTTCTTCCCAAAGTGAAGCTGATTAACTTTGCATACAGAAAAGATGTTTAGACCACTAACAGCTTGCCATCTCTGTGTCCCAAGGCTGTTGTTGCTGACTGAGTGCTTCTGACTCCTCCCTTTCTCACCTGTCCCACTCAAAGCTCCAGGCTCCTATCTCTCCATCTGCAGCTGTCAGCAGGTCAGAGGAGGGGGTGCTAAAAGGAAGGTAAACAGGGTCCTGGCTCAGCAAAAAGACTCCACCACCAACACAACACAGCCTGCATCTTTGCCTTATCCCTTGCAAGAAAGCGCAAAAAGACAACAGGACTGTAGAAAAGTGAGTCATCCATCTCATGACCCAAAACTGAAAAGTCATTCATGAGTTAAAAGCCCTCCATGAAGAAGCGCAAATCACCTTCTCCCTATCGGAAAAACATTTTAAACTAAAATTATCTTCATAATGCATTAATGGTGTTGCAGCTGKTTTTTCCCAATCCTTGTAAATTGCATGCAATTTTATGCAATATTGCGAGTTATGGAAATTCTCAGACTGTGTTCTCAGCTATTAAGGGGAACCCCGATCAGTTATAACATTAGACTTGATTTGATAAACATTTATTTTAACTGTAAAATAAAGACTGTAAAATACTGTAGGGTTTTGTAAATTTTTAAAAATATATTTTAACACGGATGGAGCCATTTTATTTACACACAAAGCATTCTGGGTAAATGATGATGT